TCCCCCCTTCTTCTCCTTCCCCCCCTCCTCTCTTTCCCCCTCTCTGCTCTCCTTCCCCCTCTCCTCTCCTTCCCCCTCTCCTCTCCTTTCCCCTCTCTTCTCCTTCCCCCTCTCTCCTCTCCTTCCCTCTCTCTCTTCTCCTTCCCCCCTCTCCATGCACCCAGAAGGAGGATTTTCCCAGAGACCCCTCCTACCTCTGGATCACTCTTCCCCCCGCCCCATCCTCAGACACACAGGCAGTGTCTTGTCTTCGCAGTGTCTCTTTCCTCGGCCTGGAAAACCCTCCCCCAATCTTTGCAAGGTCTGCTCCTTCTTGGCCCTCAGATCCCACAGCAGCCTTCTGTGGGCACCGAGGTGTCATCCCATTTAATTTCCCAGGTAGCTCCAATCAGTGTCTCAGAGTCTCCTGTGTCCTGTCTGCAGACTGTCTCCCGCCCGCCATGTGAGTTTCCTGAGAGCAAGCTCTGGTCAGTTTCGTCCCCTGCCCTCTTTTCAGCCGGGAACACATAGTAGGTGCTCCGTGTTTGCTGAGCGAGTGCGCAAATTAGGAAGCGGGTAAGTGAATGGATAGGTGACAGACCCCAGTGGGGCTGCCTCTGAAATCCCCTGGAGAGAGCAGTCCCCGGCCTCTTGGCCAGGCAGAACCTTGCCCTGGTGCCAGCCTGGCATCGCCCACCAGCCAGAAGCTCTGGATTGTCATAGAGGGAGGGGAGTCACAGCTGGCAGTGCAGAGAAGCAGCAGGGGCCGCCTCGGGGCTGAGATGAAGGACGGACAGGGTGGGAAGGAGGAATCGGGGCACGGTGGGGGACTGGGCCATGCACTCACCTCCCAGCGGTGCCCTGGGGACCTTTTCCGGGCCTCAAACTCCAGGTATCTTTCAATGTAGTGGGAGGACTGACGGACTTTCCAGGTTATGTTGCAGCTGTGGGCCTCCACGTGGGTGACTTGGAGGGAGTTGGGGGCCATCAGGCGAACTGGAAGCGAGAGAGGGACAGCGAGAGAGAGAGGAAGGGAGAGTGAGCTTGCAGGACACTGGGACACGATGCTGAGGTGGTAAAACCCAGCCGTGCTCCCACCCCCGCCTTCAGATCGGCTCGTCCCCCTCCGGGTGCCCCTCCCTGGGAGACCCTCACCGGTCTGGAGAAGCCTGTCCCCGCCACCCGCTGCTTCCGCCCCGCACCTGAGCACCTCCTGACATATTAAATATCTGTTTTTGGTTCTTCCTTCACTTTCTGTCTCCCGCCCCCAGACTGTGAGCTCACTGAGGGCAGGGACTGTATTCTCTGTGTATCCTCGGTGCCTGGAACATTACCTGGCACATCATAGGCACTGGGTTAAATGTCTGCTGAATGGAAAAAAAAAAAAACCAAGGTCGCCCGTTCTCTGCATTCAGAATCCATCTAAGAGCTCTATAGGGATCATCCCATTTAATTTAATGTAATCTCCATAGTCTTATAGGATTATAAGATTTTTATGATTGTGAAGTTCAGCCAATTTAAGTTTTTATAATTCGAGGACTCTGTAGAACTACGTGAATAATGCTAAGTGAATGTCTACACAGCATGCGCTAAGCAATTTCTGTGTCTGCCGCACACTCTTTACAACCCGGGTTCGGCAGGACCGATTCTCCCCATTCCAGACGAGGAAACTGAGGCTCAGACATGTTAAGTGATCTGCCAAGCAAGCCCCATTCATTTAAGGCAGGGCTGCATTTAGAACCCTGGCTAGAGGGACGCTTGGGCAGCTCAGTCCTTTAAGTGTCTGACTTCATGGTCATGATCACACTGTTCGTGGGTTGCAGCCCCGCGTCGGGCTCTGTGCTGACAGCTCAGAGCCTGGAGCCTGCTTTGGATTCTGCGTCTCCCTCTCTCTCTGCCTGCCCTCCACTCATGCTGTGTCTCTGTCTCTCAAAAATAAAAAAGAATCCTGCCTAGATCTCGCCCTTTTGTCCTAGATGGCCCCTCCATGGTCTGGGGCTGGAGACAGACACCCAGTCATTCAACAAACCTTCCCAGAGCACTGCCAGAGAAGGCCTGGTGCTGAGTACTTGAGAGTAGAGATAGGGATGACAGACACTCTGCTCTCGGAGAGCTCCCAGCCCAGTGAGGGAAATGGTCCCCTAAATCAGGCAGTGAGGACCCAGGACATAAACACCTTGAAGGAGGAGGTTCAAAGGGGCTGGGAGAGTCTGGGAGGACCTCCTGGAGGAGGTGACTCTTCACTGAGCCTTGAAGGGTGAGTGGGAACTTTCCTGGAGGCACCCTCAAGTGCAAGCGCAAGGGCTCAGAGGCATGGAGGGGCAAGCTGACTTCAGAGAGACTTTGATTGTGGCAGGAATATATAAGCCACAGGGGAGGGGTCCTAGATTGGGAAGCCGGGGCCAGAGCCCGAGCCTCGAATAGCAGGGTAAGGAACCAAGACTGCATCCCGAGGGCAGCAGGCAGTGACAGGGCACACGTGGTGAGGAGAATCTCCAAGGGAAAGACAGGGAAGGAGGTTCCCAGCCTGCCCCCATACCCCCACCCCCCACCCCTGCCCTGCTTTCCGATCCTCCACTCACGGTTCTCAAAGGGCTTGAAGTTCTGGGTCGTCAACACCTTCCACTTCTCCCCTTCATGGCACATCACCCTCATGGTGACGACGTCGGCCGAAGTCAGACTCTGAGTCTGCAAGGGAAGGTGGTCATTGGGATGGGGGGTGGAGAGACAGGGGAGGGGGAAGATCGAGACCACCATGAAAGCGGAACCCCTCCACAAGCCCCACCAGCTAAAGCGGGGGTCGGCAAGCCGTGTCAAGGTGCAGACAGTAACTGTTTCTAGCTTTGCAGGCCAGAGGGTCTCGGTCACGACTACTCCGCTCTGTGCTATCTTACAGAAGCGGCCAGACAAAGCCTGTAGGAGAATGGGCGTGGCTGTGTGCCAATAAATCTTTATTTACAAAAGAAACGGACATGAATGTGACCCGTGAAGGGAGCTGCGTTGTAAGGGAGGGAGTTCCCCATCACAAGAGGTGTGCAAGCAGGATATGCTTGCAAGAAATGTAGACCTGGAACAATACCTGTGTGATGGCTTTGAGTGTGAAAGCTCCCCCTGCCCCCCCACCACCTCCATCTCTCCCCAACACCACACCCCGACTTTTCTGGAAGGAAGTGGCCAGGTATCGAGCATCTCCTGTGAGCAGGCAATGCTCAGGGGCCTTAGCCACTTCTCTGGTCAGTTCTTGCTGCAGAAACCCAAAGTCATGCATCTGATCAGCAGGGCCGTCCAGATTCAAATCCAGGCCGCTGCATCCACTGCCCCGACACAGAGGCTGCGGCCACGGGCCGCGACGCCTGACCGATGGCTGCCGAATGAACCACTTACAGTGGCCTCCTCCCTGTGCAGAGGACCCCCTGCAGAGGGAAGGTCTGATGCAGATCCTCTTGGGATCTGTGTTCTGACACGGTGTTTTCAGATCCAGGACCATGGGCCCTGACCCTCTGACCTGCCACAGGGCCCGCCATGAGCAAACGTTGAACCTGATCATCAGAGTCCCCAGAGCTGGGAACAGTTCCTCCCTCTGCACCCCGAGGACCCTGCCCCTGCCTTCTTCCAGGTTCTGTGGGGGTCAGATGTCCCCAGATAGTAATAGTATTACCATCATTATTACTGTGACCACAGCTGTTGTAAAGAAGCCAACATAGATGTTGTAAAAGCTCTCTTGAGCGCTTCCTCTGTTCCAGACACTCTTCCGTGCGCTGGACACACATTCCCTCACTTAAGTCTCTCCACACCCTCCATACAGCCCCTATCGCTCTTCCCATCCTGCTGTTGAGGAGACTGAAGCACAGAGAGGCTGGGGCCTTGCCTCAGGTTGCACAGCTAGGAAGCACTGGAGCCAGGACGTGAAGCCAGACCATCGGCAGAGTCACGATGGCGGCACAGCAGTCCAATTCCGGAGGCTGTGCACTGTGTGAGCCCGCCTCACACTCTCCTGCCCCTTAGGAATGGATATAACCTGCTGGAGGTTGGAAAACATGGTCTGGGCATCCCTGGCGCCCGCCGCTGCCAAGGAGGGTGTGACAGTCACCTGCTGCCCTCCCCTGCGGGCATGGCTGCAGGCCCATCTAGAGGCAGCTTAGCACAATAGTGAAAGGCCACGCTGGGGACCTGACAGACCCGGGTTTGATCCCCGCTCCGGGGGGACTTGCCATGGGCACTTGGAAAGGGACCATGACGCTCTGAGCCTCAGTTTCCTCACTGGCCAGAAGGGGACAGTGCTCGTGCCCACCCACGAGGTCGCCAGGCTCCACGGACCATAGAGTCAAGCGCGTGCTCGGCCCCGGGTGGCACAGTCAGTTGAGCGTCCGACTTTCACTTAGGTCATGATCTCGCGGTTCGTGGGTTCGAGCCCCGCGTCGGGCTCTGTGCTGACTGCCAGCTCAGAGCCTGGAGCCTGTTTCAGTCTGTGACTCCCTCTCTTTCTGACCCTCCCCTGCTCACGCTGTCTCTCTCTCCTGGAAATAAATAAAACATTTAAAAAAAAATTTAAAAAAAAAACTGACAGGAAAAACAAACTATTTGTTCCATCTTTTCATTTCAATGTTCATTTAGTATTGTCTCCAGAGACTAATGATACACAGAGAGGAATCCACTCTGGGTGCCTCAGTGCTGCTCNCGTCGGGCTCTGTGCTGACTGCCAGCTCAGAGCCTGGAGCCTGTTTCAGTCTGTGACTCCCTCTCTTTCTGACCCTCCCCTGCTCACGCTATCTCTCTCTCTCTCTCCTAGAAATAAATAAAACATTAAAAAAAAAAAAAAAGCAGGTGCCACGATTACGGCCGTTTTGCAGAAGGGGAAGCTAGGAGCCGAGGTGGCGATGGAGCCAGGGCTGGAGCCCAGAACGTCAGCTCCGGAGCCCACGCTTGTAAGCCCGCACGGCCCTGCATTCGCCAAGACCTTGGGAGGAGTCGGAGGGGGCAGTGTTATCACTGGTGTGTACCCCGCCACCCAATGAAGAGTATAGAAGTGTCATGGAGCCCACAGAGCATAGGGGAAGCCATGGGAGTCGAGGCAGAATGGCCGAGCTTCATGCATCACAGAGCCTTTACCCCCGAATCAGGCCTGAGCTCTGGCCTTTGGATGCGGCCCTCCTTTCTTCTGCCTCTCTTGCCCTAGGTGGCCCTCTGGCGCACAGACCCTGTAGCCAAAACCACGGGGCTCGCTGGGCCACAGCTCCTCCCCTGGAAGGACACCCCTCTGCACCTTCCCTCCCCTTGGCTCCCTTCCCAGCTCCCACTACTCACATCCGGGGATCCAAGGATCAGGTAACAGGCCCAGGACGCCAGTCCCATCGGGAGCAGCTCACAAGATTTGTTCCAAGACCTTCCAAGACAAAAGAACCCTCCTTAGGACAGAAGGAGGGACCCCCCCCGCCCGGAGCCGGCGGTAAGGACAGTCCCCCATCCAGCAAGGCCAGTCGGCGCGGGGCGCTGTGCCAACCTCGGCAGAGGCCGAAGTCGGCTCTACCTCCCATCACGGACGCCTTGTCCTGCCCTCCCAGCCTGGCCCCTCAGTAGCCACAGCAACTTTCTAGAAACAAGCCACATCAGGACACGTGGCCTCCGCCCCTAGAGCCCTCAGAGTCTTCCCGTGGGGCTCCATGGAGCCTTTGGAACCCTGAAGAGTCACTGCCCACTCAGGGTCACCTTTGCTGCTGCCACCAGAATGTTTGGGTCACAGAAGCTCTTCGCTGACTTCTCCTACCCCAATGCCCTAGCCCCACAGCTCCCCCAGGCATCTCTCAAAAAGCTGGGGGAGCCCCCTTTCCTCTCCCCGCTGGCTCCCAGAGTCGAGTCCAGCCTTGGCATCACAGGCCTTATGGCTCAGTGTCCCCAAACAGCCTGTCCATCTCATCCCTGGCCCCTCCACTGTCACCTGGACCCCTGTTTCTCACCCCCACCCGGGTCCGGGTCCCAGGAGCCTAAACACCTGGCTCCTAGGCTTTCCAGCCCCCTGTGATGCCAGGAGTCGGTGGGTCCTATCGGTCCAAATCCCCAAAGCATAGCATCATGGCGTCTACAAGTAAGGAAGTCTGAATGTCAGTGATTATAAGACCCCGCCCCCGTCTTGAGATGCTGAGGTTTTGCTGGCCGGCCCCGCACTCACCGTTGATTTGGCCGAGCGTGGATCCTGCAGGATGTGGCCTTCAGGTCCCCATCCCAGCTCCAGACACAGGAGATGTTGGCTTTGGAGTTGTAGAAGCATGTGAGCCTGGAGGTGTCTACGGGCAAGATGAGGCATGAGTGGCCGGCTGCAGGGCGCCCGGAGTCCTCGGGGGCTGGCCCTCCACCCTGCTCCCTGCGCCCTGTGCCTACCAGATGAAGAGGTAGGCGCCCCTGGGGAGCTAAAAGAACTTGGTGGCTCCATTTCAGAGAAGACGAAACTGAGCCCCAGAGCCTGCAAGGCCCCATAGGCAGAGCAGGGACGAAAAGCGTGTCTCCCTTTGGCTTCGAGAGACACACGGATGCAGCAGGGGCGGGCCAGAAGGACCGAGGGAGAAGGTAGATGCCTCGCCCTCGCCTCCCTCCTTCCCTGCCTCCTGCCCCTGCTGATGGGCATCTGCCAGGAAGCAGGGGTCCCAAAATGGGTCCTAGATGGGCGCTGGCCACCTTCCCAAGAAACACACAGCGATCCAGATGCCAGGGTCCTCACCGTTCGCCACTGTGGATGCCCGAGGGATGGCCAGGGGCAAGAAGAAAACAAGGAGGGGCAGACACCAGGACAGAGCAGGAGCCGCCATCACATCCATGGGTGGGAGCGAGGGAAGGGAGCCCTAGAGGGAGGGAGAAGGGAGGAAGGCACAAGTGAGCACCTGCACCGTGGGCTGGCAGGCTGGGCCCTACCAAGCCAGCACCGTCCAGCCTCAGGGCCTTTGCACCTGCTGGTGCAAAGGCCCCCCACACACTCCTTTCCTTCCAGGACTCAAAAGCCCAGCACATCGTCAGAGCCAAAAGGGCTCTCTGGGTGAGCCCAACCCTTTGTTCAAAAGCTGGAGAAACTGAGACTCAAAACAAGGAAAGATTTGCTCAAGTCCACATAGCAAGGCCAGCGCAGAGCTGGGATTAGAGCCCCCCCTCGCCTTGCTGTCCCTTCAATCACACCAAACACTGTTCATTGGGAGGCTCCTATATGCCAGGCTGTTTTAAACTCTTTAAGTGAAGCCATAAAGACATTTAGCAGAGACATTGTTCTCATCTCCATTTTCAGATGAGGAAACTGAGGCACAGAGAGGTAAAGCCAGTTGCCCACGGTCATGTGGCTGATAAGAGGCAGGTGTGGAATTAGAGCCGCAACAGAGCCCAGGCAGGGCCTCCTGTAACTTCTCTGACTGCGTCTTCCCACCCACCGAGACCGTTCGCATGACTGATAACACGTACTGGTGACCTCACCGCACGCGTGGTGTGTGCTGAGCACTTTACACACACCTGAGCCAAAATCAAGAGTCAGAAGCGTATCTGCCCAGTAGCTTGGGGGAGTGGGGGTGGGGGTGCTTGTATCAGCCCCTTACACAGATGCGGAAACTAAGGCTCCGAGTCGGCAACCGGCCAAGGTCATGTGCGCAGAAGAGGCAGAACTGGGATTTCATCCCCGGGTTCACCCCCAGGGCCTGTTCTCTCACATCTTCTGTCCCTGCCCAGACCCTGTCCGGGGCACTGGTCCCCAGAGGTGAGACCAACAGCCCCCTGCCCTGGAGTCGAGGAGTTGAGGCCCAATAGGGACACAGGCCAACGGTCAAGTATCTGGTTTGGGTTCGAAAAGGAGCCCAGAGAGGTACCGTGGGCGCCTCCTTGCCTGGCCCACCATCCCCACAGCGGGGTATGCTCTCCAGCCAGGGTAGGGGGTGGGGGGCTGGTTACTTCTTTCCTTGGGAACCCTCTACAGCACAGGGCACAGGGTTGGGACCCTCAAGGGGTCCAGCAAGCCCCCCTGGGCCCCCTCCTCATGGCCCTGGGCACAGGCACTGTCAACCCCCTGGAGGGTGTCGCTCTGGGCCAGCACCAGCCAGCGAGTCAAGCCCATGTCCAAGACAGGACCTGGCACAGAGCCTCAGAGTGAAGGGAGGAGGGTCAGGGCAAAGGCATGCAAGATCACAGGAAGGTCAAGGCCAAACCACAGCCCCGGCAGGGGTGAGCCAGCAGGAGCAGAAGCATAATCTAGAATGAGCTCCCCGCTGTTCCTATCAGAAAGGGCGCATGTACATGAAGATTGCAAAGCACGAAGAGGGGAGTGTGCAGGGGGCACAGGGAGGTGGGGGCTGGGAGGGCTCCTGGCCCACGCTGAGCCTGTACCCGCCAGCAGAGGAGGCTTGGGGAGGTTAAGGAACCTGCCCAAGGTCGCAGGCCCGGCCTCAGGGATCAAGGTCACGGGCCCAGCCTCAGGGAGGGCAAGCAAGTAGGACCTCTGAGTCCTCAGCACCCTTAGTCCTAGGTTCTCACGCACGCCCACACACGGTGCCCTTCCCGACTGCAAAGCTGTCCACACTCACACTGACTCATTAGGTCCCCACCACAGCGCGGGAAGGTGGCTGTCGTCACCCCGCCTCTGAGAGATGCCAAGACAGCTCAGCGCTGCCCAAGGGGCTGGACTCAAAGCCAGTCCTCTGATTTCAGGCGAGATGATAATGACGGTGACAATGACGATGCTGACGGTCATGATGGTGACAGCGATGATGATGGTGACAGTGACTAATACCCGGCTCTCACTCTGTGCCCGGGTCCTTAGCACCCAGCAGATATTACTTCATTTAGCCCTTACAGCAACCCCGGGAGCAGGTGCCATTATGACTCCTTTTCTCAGATGAGGAGGCTGAGGCCAAAGCAGGGGGGGAGAGCGGGGGTTGAACGGGTCAGTACCGCCTGAGTTCCCGCGGGGCTGACTCTGCGGGATGTAGGGCGCCTGGGGGAGGGGGAGGATGAGGAAGGAGCGAGCACTGACCTTGATGGGCTCCGTCTCCCCTGGTCCTCCCGGCCACACACACACACACACACACACACACACACACACACACAACTCTGGATCCTGACTGTGAGGCTAGGGAGGGGACCCTCAGAGGTGGCTCTGCCCCTCAGCCACCCACCCCCCCCTCCGCCCCGCCAAGGTGCTCCGAATACAGACCAGGGCAGGAGGCCTCGTTCCCCAGGACTGGAGAGGGGCCTGGAGACACCACGGACCTGCCCCCTCACACGGCCAAGGGAGGGACAAATCTGGACTCAAACCTGCAGATCTGGCCTCCCGCCCGGGACTCCCAGAGCACCCCCACTTCAGGCCAGGTCTCAGAGAGTCCCCCCTCCCTCCTCTCCTGCCCCACAGCCTCCTCGGGGAGCCCTTCACGCAGGGCTGTGAGGAGGGCGCTCGCCCGGCCCCCCACCCCGCATCCCGGTGCCCTTCACCCCTCTGCGATGGGAGGCCGCTTGCCCCAGAGCGCCCCCCAGCTTCCCCAGGGACGGAGAGGTAGCCCGGAACTAGGCACCAGCTTTTCCTCGAGCCCACAGCCATGAGCTGAGCACCTGCCTCATTCCTGGGGGACTTCAAGATCAGGCTGGGGGCGGGGAGGGAGGGCCGGGAGAAGGATGTCCAGGCAGACAATGTCCTGGGGCATCTGGCTGGCGGCAGGGCCGGCAGGGAGCCCCTGGGGACCTGGGGACCGAACGGGGACAGGGGGAGGGCAGAGTCACCTGGAGGAGACATGGGGTTGCGGCGCACTCTCTCGGGGTCTCTCCGCTGCTGGGTGCACAGCCATCCCCCCCGGGGCCCTGCTCCGACTCAGACTCCCAGCCGCCCAGGTAGCAGCTGGCTGATGAGGCCAGAGAAGTAAAACCCCAGGGCCGGCCCACTTCCTGTGCAGGGATGGAGGGGGCAAGGCCGGGGGTGGGGACGCGGGGGGGGGGGGGGGTGGAGACATCAGGCTGGTGAGAAACTCTGAAACTCCTAAAGCACCTAGAGGCCTGATAAAGATCTCCCTCCTCCGCTGGGGGGGTGGGGCACCGTGGGTGTCTTGGCAGCAGACACACAGACACCCAGACACACAGACACACACAATCACGCTCAAATAGGTGCCTTGATGCACACAGGAGCGCCCGGGGGGGGGGTGCAGCCCTCCTCCTCCCTCCTACACCCACCCCACCGCACCCCACACAGGCCTCTGCAAGCCTGTGACACCTTCACCCAGTCACACATGTGCGCACACGCGCTTGCACACACACACACACACACACACACACGTGTGTCCTTTTAGGTGTCCCTGACATTTCTCTCTCCTGTCCCACCCACCTCTCCGAGACTTCCCTTTTCACCCAGCCTTCCAAGGAGCCCCTTCCTTAGTTTAGCATCTAAACGAAATCATTAGAACGATCTTCCAGGGCTTTGCAAGCAAATTGATGGCCATTTATTGGGCACTCTAGAACCTTCCCTTTCCTTTCAGATCATGATTCCTAATCCTCCTCCCCCGCCTCCTGCTCTTTGGATCAGCTCAGGGCTTTTTTTTTTTTTTTTTCCAAAGGAAGAGAAGTTGTGGTCCCCGCTTTAGAAAGGTGCACATCTATTGATATGTGGTGTCCCAGCCCCAGGGACCCGTGAAGTTCCATCCAGCATCCGGAAGAAGGAGTTCTGCGCTCTCTCTTTTTCCTGGTCTTAATGACCCTGCTTCAGGTGGGGGGCTCTCTCACAAGCTGCTCTCTCTTTCAAAGAAAGGGGCGGGGCAAGCAGGGGTGGAGTCAGAAGGGCAGCTGGGAGACCCTCCCGTCCCCGTCCCCCCAGAAGTGAGAGCAGAATTGAAGACCCCAGGAAGAGAGGCAGACCCAGCTCCCTTCTGAGTCGAAGCAGAAGCAATAGAGCGTCATCCTTGAGAAGAGCGCGTCCTTCTTTGGAGCCTCCCCGCAGAGGGACCCTGTCTTCCCGGGGCGTCGGTGTCCACTCGGTGGGAAGAGGCATGATGATTCCTGTAGACTATGCGAGCCCAAAAGCACTAACCACCCACCACACATTTAATGGGCTCACAACAGGCCGTCCTCTCCTCTCTCCCAGAGTGAAGCTTTCTGGCTCCAGGAGAGGGTAGTAAACCACCTCCACACAGATGAGAAGAATAGCCAAGATTTCTTGAGTCTGGAATATTCTGGAAGCTTCTCAAGGAACCGGGAAACGTGATTCTCCCAGGAAGGAAAGCCAGGTCAGGAAGGGGTAGGAAGAATGTTTTTTTCACTATAGACCCATTCGTCCTACCTGCACGTATTTCCTGCCCCAAAATAAAGGAATTCATTGAAAACTTTAAAAAAAAAAACCCACATATAAAAAGAGCGGCACCTGGGGGGGGGGTCTTAGGGGGCTCAGTGGGTTAAGCTTCTGACTCTTGGTTTTGGCTCAGGTCATGTTCTCACGGTTCGTGGGATCGAGCCCCGTGCCGGGATCGAGCCCCGTGCCGGGCTCTGTGCTGACAGCGTGGAGCCTGCTTGGGATTCTCTCTCTCCTCCCTCTGCCCCTCCCCCTGAAGGTAAATAAATAAACATTTTTAAAAAGTAAAATAAAAATTTAAAAATGTATAAGGAAAAAATATATCCCCAGGGGAAGCCAGAAATCACAGACATATATCTAGTAATAAAGAGCAGCACCTTCGCCCACGGGGATGACTCTTCCCCTCCTCCATCACCCTTTCCTTCTTCCTTTTTTCTTTTTTAAAAATATTTATTTAGGGGCGCCTGGGTGGCTTAGTCGGTTAAGTGTCCGACTTTCGCTTAGGTCATGATCTCGCGGTTCGTGGGTTCGAGCCCTGCGTCGGGCTCTGTGCTGACTGCCAGCTCAGAGCCTGGAACCTGTTTCAGTCTGTGACTCCCTCTCTCTCTGACCCTCCCCTGCTCACGCTGTCTCTCTCTCTCTCTCTCCTAGAAATAAATAAAAAACATTTAAAAAAAAATAAAAAAAATAAAAATAAAAATATTTATTTATTTTTGAGAGACAGAGCGAGACAGAGCACAAGCAGGGGAGGGGCAGAGAGAGAGGGAGACACAGAATCCGAAGCAGGCTCCAGGCTCCGAGCTGTCAGCACAGAGCCTGACACGGGGCTCGAACTCACGAACTGTGAGATCATGACCTGAGCTGAAGTCGGATGCTCAACCGACTAAGCCACCCGGGGGGCCCCCTTCTTCCCTTCTTTCATTCATGTTCACCAAACATCTACTGAGCACCAAGATGTCCCAGCAGCAAGGCCGGGACGGTGCCTTGAGCGGACTGGCGCCGAGCGGGGAGGCCACAGGCTGGTGTGGGTCCAGGGGAGGGGCTCTAACCAGCCAGGGCCCTGGGACCTGCCGGCGTGGCTTGAAGAGTGTAGTGAGGAGGGTCCTGCTTTTGCCAAGGGGCTCCAGCCAGGACCGCTGGGGTGGAGAGGCAGGGGTGGCTACGTGGAGCCCTGAGAGCTTCCCCCCTGCACAGCCCACAACCTCTACCGACAACTGAATGGCTGTAGGGGCACGAGGGAGGGGCACATGGTGGCAGAGAGAGAAGGCGGGAATGCATCCCTATCGCCAGTGGGTGCAGGGGGGAGGGATTTAGTCCCCCTTCTGGGCCTAAAACCCTCACCTTGTTCTTCCTCCGAGTGTGTCTGTCTCCTTCCCCTCCTTCCTCCACCCCTGCCCTCTTCCGTCTCCTTTTCCCTTCCCTCCCCCTCCTCCACCCCCCTCTGTCCCCTCCCCTGCAGGGCCCACTGGAGGACGTGAAGCCCTAGCAGGCACCTGAAGGCCAGAGCGCCCCCCACTGCGCAGAGAAAGCACACGGAACCGAAACAGGGTGGTGTGGGGCTTCTTGTTTCCGCAGTCGGTGGGCTTTACCCTGACAGATACAGAAGGGGCCGCGGGTGCCTGAGCTGGATGTTAAAGCTGGGGTGGGGGGTGAGGGCGCAGGCCAGGCTGGGGCCCCAGCGGGTGGGCAGAGCAGGTGCGGGACAGGTTGCCCTATTCAGCCCCCAGCCCAGGTCCCACCTGCTGTCACCTGCCCTGAGCCACATCCTCAGAAACCCCCTGACCGGCCGCGTTTCCACTCCTCACCCTTCCAGCCTGTTCTCCACTCAGCAGCCAGAGCTGTCTTCCCAGAGTCCAATCAGCCCATTTCACTGCAGCAACTCCGTTTAAACCTTCCAGTAGTTTCCACATTCATAATAAACCCCAGACTCCTCGTCTTGACCTCAAGGCCCCTCGGGAGCAGTCCAGCGATCTCTGACAGCGCCCACTGAGGCCTGCCCTGACCTTCATCTCCGGAGTTTGGGGGTGGGACCCAGCCTCCTGGAGCCGAGAACTCCTCCCCTGCCAGCACCCAAACTGCCACATGCATCAACCCCTAACTCCTATGGCAGCCTTTCCTGGGCCCTCCACACCTCCCCCCTGCACCCTCAGCTTTCATGGCACAGCCCCAGCAACTCAACCACCACTGCGCGGGGACCCCACTTTTGTAGGCGCCAGGGGGCAAGCACTTGTGGGGGCTCCTGGCTCCCCCTTCCTCGCCCCCCCCACCCCACATGTGAGCCACCACCCTCCCTGGTCTCCACAGTCACTTCGCTGACCCCCCGGGCTCCAGATTGGATACCCGTGCTCTTCCGTGGTCCCCTGTGAGCGGCCGGTTCCCCAGCCCCTCCACCAGCACCAGCGCCCCGAGCAGCCCCCACCTTGTGCAAACTGCGCCTTTCACTCGCCAGGACTGCTCCAGGGTGACTGGCTGTCCCGCTTTGCCTGGGCCTGAAGTGGATTTCAGGACATGGGATGTGAGTGCTAACTCCGGGGGGCGGCGGGGAGCCGGTTACTGCATTCCCACCTGATTCATCCCGGACAAACCCAGCCCCCCGATTTAAAGCCAGTCCTTCCCTGACACCCCTCCACCCAGCCAGGTCGGGCTCTGTGCGCACGCCGGCTACCCTGCCTTGTGACATGACTGCTTACATGTCTACACCAGGAGCCCCCTGGCAGCAGGAATCCTGTGTGACTCATCCAGCTCCGGAGCTCAGAACCGACCCAGCAAACAGAGGTGCCAAGACGCACGGAAGGAAGGACCAGAGAAAGACTTGAAATCTCCATTCAAGTCTCCTACATTCCAAATCTTCTACAAGGAAGATTCCAGAAGGTACAAGTTAAAAACAGCACGGGGAGTAACATATTTGAAGCTTCGAAAGGGTCGCCATTGGCATGGGTTTAAAGGGTGGGTCACTTCACGGGTGTGAGCTCCCAGCCGCACAGCCTCTCTGGGGGCAATCTGATGACATTCGTCACCAGCTCTGGCCCGTGACCCCGCGGTGCCGGGTCTCAGTCTCCTCCTGCAGACAGAGGCAGGCCCATGTGGGAAATGTGCACGCCAAGACTGGAAGCAGCCGGAATGCACGTCAACAGCGGACTTCGGGTAAGTAGAGCGAGGACCACCCCACGCGACACAGCCGCGACAAACAGAAGGGGGCACGTCTCCACTCGTGACACAGAGAGGTCCCCAGGTGTATGGCAGAGCGAACAAAAGCCAAGTTCAGAAAGAAGCGTGTAGTGGGGCGCCTGGGTGGCTTAGTCGGTTAAGCATCCGACTTTTGCTAAGGTCATGATCTCGCGGTTCGTGGGTTCGAGCCCCGCGTCGGGTTCTGTGCTGACTGCCAGCTCGGAGCCTGGAGGCTGTTTCAGAGTCTGTGACTCCTTCTCTCTCTGACCCTCCCCTGCTCACACTGTCTCTCTCTCTCTCTCCTAGAAATAAATAAAACATTTTAAAAAATTAAAAAAAAAAAAAAGAAGCGTGTAGTATGCCCCACCCCATGCG